ACTGGGCGGCGGTGGCGGTCAGCGTTGCGTTTAGCGATGACATTGGCTTTTTTAATTGCTTCAACGGCTCTGGTGTGGGCAGCGGCAGGGTGGGGCCATGTCGGCGGCAGGGCGAGGCCGTGGCGGCGGTAGGGTGGCGCGCGCCGCTGCCTGGGGCCGCGCACTGGCGGGTAGAGCGCGGCGCGGGCTGCGCGGACGGCGCGCAGCGCGCTGCGGGCCGCGGACGCGCCGCCGGGCTTTGGGTGGGCTGCGCGGGGCAGCGACGGGCCGCGCGCGCGCTGCGCGTGCTGGGCGCGGGCCGCGCGGGGCAGTTGGGTGCCGCGCGCGCGTCGCGCGGGCTCGGGGCAGGCTGCGCGGGGCAGCTGCAGGCCGCGCGCGCGCTGCGCGGGCTCGACGCGGGCTGCGCGGGCCGCGAGCGGGACGCGACGCGGCTGCCGAGGCGCGATTCGGGCAGGAGAGGGCGACCCGCGGGGGTAAAAACGAGGCAGCGCTTGAAAATTAGGTCTGCGCGCGAAGCAGCAGCAGACAGCTCAGACAGTAGACAGTAGGCAGCAGGCAGACGGCGCGCGCAGCGCAGCACGTCACAGGCACAGTCAGTCACAGTCACAGTCGTGGGGTAGCGGTAGGTGGGCCCGAAAAAAAACGGTCCTACGGACCTACTGCTCTGAAACCATGTCAGAATGAAGAGGCAGGAATGATTGACTAGGAAGCAAGGATGAGTACAAGTAGGGCAAAGTCTAACCCTAAAGTGTTGTACTCAGTAGAGGCTACCCCACTACAGCCTACAACATAGAAACATAGTTTGACAGTTGCTAGGCAAGGCTTGACTTGGGAAAGGTTATGGTGATCAAAGGCAAGTACCAGTAGATTGAAGTGGCTGTGCTGACGTGTAACTGTGTAACGCACTCAGGGTTGGCATCTGAGCAAGTTCCCATGCAGGGAGATGAGGGGCTGTACTAGAGAATATCCATCATTGGTGTGTTATCGACAGCAGATGGAAACAAATCTCTTCATTAATCACACACGTGCACGAATCCCAAAAATGCGTCTTATTTCAACCTAGACAACTTCCCACAGAGCGCGAACTTGTTTCCTGCGTGTCCTTCAACCATGTGTGATGCTTTCGTCAATGTGTTAAGGGTCGCAAGCATGGCTTCCGCTGTGATCACCGGCTGCTCAATACGCGCTCGAAAGCTGTACCGCTTGCGGCGAGACTTGGGCCTCGTGATGTTGACAAAGGTGTAGGATGAACTGGAGGCTCCTTCAGAGCAGGAAGCGACAGAGCTTAGGTCGGGTTGACCTCCTCCCTTGAGGTTCAACAGAAGAATCTTGATGACCAGGTTGTATGACGTTGAAGAGTACCTGTCAACAGGACAAGCAGGGATAAGAAGTGGAGAGTAAAGCATGTGTATTGAATAGATGATCCCTTGGAACGTATTGGGAGAGCCAGAATCGGACAAACAAAGAGTGGCTGATTGTGCGGACGTTTCTAAAACACGGGGCCCAAACTGGTAAGAGACGTTGGGACTTTACAGCACTCGTGTCAGCACCGACGGCGAGACGGGTCTCGCGATGGTGCATCTCTCACGATTCTTGAAAGGGATTGTGACTCTATAGCCCAGGGATCGTGACTCTGCAGCCCAGGGATCGTGACTCAACAGCCCCCCTCTCAAGTCAGCGTGACTCTGCAGCACTCGGGTGAGCGCCAGTGGAGCAAGTGAAGGAGCGGACGAGTGAAGGAGCGGACGAGTGAAGGAGCGGACGAGTGAAGGAGGGGACGAGTGAAGGAGGGGACGAGTGAAGGAGCGGACGAGTGAAGGAGGGGACGAGAGAAGGAGGGGACAAGTGAACGAGGGGACAGGCCGTACTTCACTGCCTTGACGGAAATTGCCCCCGAAGCTCCTGCGTCACCAACTATTTTCCCGTTGACCTTGGTGGGACGCAGCGTCGCCGCGTATTTCGCTATAAACTGGAGAGAGGGAACACAACGAATCGGGATGGAGGGGAAATGAAAAGCCGCACACCCTTCAACTGCAGCACACAAATCAGCTGCACTTGGTAGATGCCAGCGCTCCAAACCCGATTGGGATTTTTGCTGGCAGCAAACATTATCCATTAACAAGCTGTTCAGTTCATGACGATATCTCTTGGTATCATTACGACCTGCAAAGAATCTATGCGCACAATCGATCATACAGCCAACGGTGGGCTGCCCGTTAAAAAGCGGTCACTGCTGGAAAACCGCTGCCCGTAAACAAATCGTTACTTCTGACTCTGGCAATGCCTGGGTTGATCCTAAGGCACTTACCGTATTTCTTTCCCTTATAAAACAGGGGCATGGCCTGAGCGGCAGAAGCGGTAGAACCGGCAGAAGCGGCAGAAGCGGCAGAAGAGCCGCCTTGGCGCGAGAGGAGCGCGTCGAGCAATGATGTGGCCGTCTCGCCGGTGCAGACCGCCGCACCTGCAGGCAGACAGGCAGGCAGACAGGCAGGCAGACATGCAGGCAGACAGGAGAAGCACGGTTGAAGACGTGACGTGGGGAACGCCGAACGCTCATTATCGATCTGCCAGATCTGCCTCTGTTGTCCGACAGAAACTGTAAGTAGGCTCAGGGACAGTCTCCGTTAGTATCCGACAGAAATTGTAAGCAGTAGCCTCAGTGACAGTCTCGATGCGAAATTGATTCCAGCAGTAGCAAAGTCAGAGCCTAAACGAGTCGACTAAAAAGTCGCAGCAGCAGGGCTTACAGAGCAGCAAGCAGAGGAGAGCCAACGCGCGGCGCTCCATGATGCTCGCCCGCTAGGGTTTCGCCAAAGCCACTAAAAGTGAGTCACTCGCAATATTTGCGGACACCGATTTCACACGACTTCGAGCACCGTATGATATGAATCATCAGCGGCAGGCCGGGGGAGTTTTAGAGGAACCTTGCATGAAGCCGGTGGTACTAGGTTGAGGTGTGTCTTGAGCGATGATCGCCGGGTGGTCGTACAATCGGCCTACGTGCACGAACATCTTTGACTGACACGTAGGCCGATCGCAGGCCGCTATAACCACTCTGCGAGTGACACCTAACAATCGCGGTGCCCACTGAAGATAAGCCCGTTAGTGTGCAATCTATCAGGCACTGGGTGGACGACATTGTACTATCGCTGCGCCACTTGCATGTCACCGGCGAGCCTGAGGGTACGTTGCCTCCTAACCTGATCCGTACAACACCTAACAAAACGACAGCATGCTCGAGTAAACTAACCGCAAGATGACGGGATAATAGCCGCAAGACGACGGCATCTACCGCACGATGACGGCAAATACCGCAAGACGACGGCATACTAAGTAGGTACGTACGGACGACTGATCCGCAACATCTGATTTTGTCAACGCCTTGTACACGCGAATTCGCGCTATTGTGTTTTCGATATACATCAGAACATCCTGTGGTTTAGGGCGATTACGCTACTGAGACATACAAAACTATCTGGCTTCCTGAGCTGGTTCAGGGATGACTTGCGTGTGGTAAAATCTCTTCACCGGTTCGGCCGTTAATATATTTTCGATTCCTTTGGACCGAAACGGATGGTGCATCTAGTTTAGACGCCTTAGTGCCCTCTTCTCGCTTCCCCGTAGCATGCATGATGGCCGGCGGGACGACGCGGGGCTCGCGTTTGACGTGCTCCTCTTCGTCTCCACGGTTCGTGCCGCTATAATCCCCGAATCTTGTATCACTTATGAGAAGCTGCACCTAACCTGCTCTTCTTTGAATTGCACGCCCATCTCATTGGAACACACTTGCTCTGTTGTGGTACGTTTCTATATGGTTTCTTGAAAACAACAGGAGTGCATCAATTCTCATGGACTTTGTTACCACATGCACACTGACTTCTAGTCAGGTCGACACACGCCCACACACACATGCATCTCCACCCTGCACCGATCACACCACTTCATGGAACCCTAGCATTCCACCTACACCCAAATGCATCCTATTTCCCTTTTTTCATGACCTTCCCACTGAGCGAGCGCTTGTTACCTGCGTGCCCTGCCACTGCATGTGAACCTCCTACCAGAAACGTCATCGTGTCGCGAACATTACTCTCTGAGTCCAGAACCTGCTCTGTAAACATTTTATAACTGTACCGCTTGCGGCGTGCAGCTCTGTCACTTGTGATGTTCACCAGGGTGAACGTTGGTGCGGGAGCTTCTGTGGCGCAGGAATTTACAAAACCGAAGCGGGGTGGGCCTCCTGGTATGTTCAAGATAAGAATCTTCATTATCATAATGTACGTCGATGCAGAGTACCTGTCAGTCGACAGGGAAGGGCAAGCGGAGACAGGTTTTTTAGAATTCTCTAAGACCAGCTCTTTATTATCATAATGTACGTCGATGCAGAGTACCTGTCAACAGGGCAGGGCAAGACGAGACAACAATCAAAGAGTTTTTTTGAGTCAACTCAAATGCCACTTGGCCTCCTGGTGTGTGCAATATAAGAATCTTCACTATCAGATTGTACGTCGATGCAGAGTACCTGTCGACAGGGCAGGGCAAGCGGAGAGAAGAATCAAAGAACTTACTTTCCGAGCGCTACATAGAAGCTCCCTCCGAATTACTGCCATTTGGTTCAGAGAAAAAACTTGACGATTTGGAGGAGCATATATTGGTTGATCATGCGAACGTCTTAGAAACCCTTGTGAATTCACAGACTCGTGCCATTGCAAGTGGAACGAGTGTCCCCTCTCACAGCTCTCAAAGATCATCGTGACTCCAAGAGGCTCGTTCAGGTGGCAAAAGTCATTGTGACTCGTGTCAGCGCCAGTGGAACATGTGTCCCCTCGCACGACCCTCAACTGTCATCATTGTGACTCCTTAGAACGCACTAGGTCACAAGGGCCAGAGTGGGCCCACAGACTCGTGCCAGCGCCAGAGGGTGGGAAGTGTCCCCTTGCACGCCTCGCACGACTAGCACGAATCTCATATATAATTGTGACTCTGCAGGACGCGCTAGGTCACAAGGGCCAGAGTGGGCCCACAGACTCGTGCCAGCGCCAGAGGGGAAAAGTGGAGCAGGGGGCAGGGCAGTGGCTTACCTCACTCCCTTGAGGGGCAGGGCAGTGGCTTACCTCACTCCCTTGAGGGGCAGGGCAGTGGCTTACCTCACTCCCTTGAGGGGCAGGGCAGTGGCTTACCTCACTCCCTTGAGGGGCAGGGCAGTGGCTTACCTCACTCCCTTGAGGGGCAGGGCAGTGGCTTACCTCACTCCCTTGAGGGGCAGGGCAGTGGCTTACCTCACTCCCTTGAGGGGCAGGGCAGTGGCTTACCTCACTCCCTTGAGGGGCAGGGCAGTGGCTTACCTCACTCCCTTGAGGGGCAGGGCAGTGGCTTACCTCACTCCCTTGAGGGGCAGGGCAGTGGCTTACCTCACTCCCTTGAGGGGCAGGGCAGTGGCTTACCTCACTCCCTTGAGGGGCAGGGCAGTGGCTTACCTCACTCCCTTGAGGGGCAGGGCAGTGGCTTACCTCACTCCCTTGAGGGGCAGGGCAGTGGCTTACCTCACTCCCTTGAGGGGCAGGGCAGTGGCTTACCTCACTCCCTTGAGGGGCAGGGCAGTGGCTTACCTCACTCCCTTGAGGGGCAGGGCAGTGGCTTACCTCACTCCCTTGAGGGGCAGGGCAGTGGCTTACCTCACTCCCTTGAGGGGCAGGGCAGTGGCTTACCTCACTCCCTTGAGGGGCAGGGCAGTGGCTTACCTCACTCCCTTGAGGGGCAGGGCAGTGGCTTACCTCACTCCCTTGAGGGGCAGGGCAGTGGCTTACCTCACTCCCTTGAGGGGCAGGGCAGTGGCTTACCTCACTCCCTTGTACACGATTTTCCCCGAAGCTCCTGCGTCACCGACTAATTTCCCCTTGAGCATGGTGGGGCGCAGTTTGACAGAGTATTTCACTGGAAACGGGAACAAGAGGGAAGGGGACGATGAAAAGGTAGGTGAAAAGTGATTCTGATCAAACATGAACATACAGTTTTACATGGGTATGCGTGCATTGCATCGGAAAGAAGGGAAGTGAACGGTGTCGCACACGCATCAGATGCAACGAGCACACGCATCAGATGCAACGAGCACATGGGCTGCAGCAAACACATGAGCTGACATCATTACCATACACGGGAACGAAAAGGACCAGCAAGGTGGGGAGATGAATGACGCAGCAAGCACTTCAGCTGCAGCAACCACTTCAGCTGCAGAAACCACTTCAGCTGCAGCAACCACTTCAGCTGCAGCAACCACTTCAGCTGCAGCAAAGGTGAGTAATTGCTTCTGTAGGCTCAGACACTTACAAAATGTCTTCCCCTTCCAAACCAGGGGCCTGGCGGAAGGGGCAGAAGTGGTAGAAGCGGCAGAAGCTGAGGAAGGGACAGACGCGGCAGAAGAAACGCCTTGGTGAGCGAGGAGCGGTAATGATGTGGACGACGCGCCGTAGGCAGTGCAGACCGTCGCACCTGCCAAGGATGCAGGGAGCCACGAAGGCAGGCAGGCAGCACGAGTGGAGGCATGAGGCACGAATGCTCAAAGAATAGATGAGTGATGAGTGGCGGCATGAGGCACGAATGCTCACAAATCAAACAAAACTGTAACCTTAGCGGCACGGGGACTAAACTGACAGACTGTAAGTTATCAGACGAAAACCGTTGACGACAGCCTATGGGCTAGTAGCAGCCCACTCGGGATTTGCAAGACTTACAGAGCAGCAGGCGCGAGAGGAGAGATAATGCGCGGCGCTCCATGCCGATCTTACTATTAGTAATGCTTCGTCGGCTTGGCTCTAGGCAATACCAGAAAGGTAAAACGAATTACTGACACATGCTTTGCGGCGGATGGCCGTTTGATAAACCGATCTTAATAGGATTCGAGAATGTCTCACACTGCATGTGAGAGTCGAACCGTTGAAAGCCGGCAGGTGCATCAAAGGAGCGCGGGAAAACGTGTGGATCGGAACGGTTTCCTGAGAAAACTCACTCGTTGCACATCGAAGCGACACGTAGGCCGATTGATGGCATTTTAACCACTCGGCGAGCGACATTTAGACAACTGAAGAATTCGGAGGCCAGTGAAGATAAATCGCCGTTCAAGATTCACTAGGTCGCAGCTGCCTAGACTTGCCAGTGGATGCATCATGGACGAGTTGACTTTCGCGTTGACTAACATGTCAACTCAGCTTTCGCCACAGCACGACGACTTGCCCCCGCAAACCGGGTTCTCCCAACAGTCAGATGCGCCTAACAAGTAATACTGCACGGCAGCGACTTCGACAGCGCGCATCTCGAATCGCTAGGAAGGTACTTGGTTGGGACTAGGGCCGCGTTACTTCCGGGAATTGAGTACGGCCGCCATGCTTCGCGGAATTGAGAATGAATTCGGGATGACGTCGCTAGAATGAAGTGGGAATTTGAAAGGCCCGTACGCGCCAGAATCATGTGATACAGTGTTACGGGTGCAATGGATCTAAGTAGCGAGGATTGCACTAAGGTGTCAAAATGAGTACAAAATGTGAGCGGCATGAGCGAACATTTATACGCGAAACATGCAAACGGTAACGCGGTGCGTGCGAGCTAGCTAGTGCTACGCTGGCAGTGAGGCTCGGGCTAGTCCCGAAGCGTAGGCCGACGAGGCCAGGCCAGCAGTGCGAGGTTTGGTGAAACAGTGTGCGCGAAGTCGGCGAAGCCCCGTTAGCTGTAACGGGCGAACAACGGCTGCTGCTGTACGCGATGTTGCAGGGCGCGCTAAGGAATATCGAGAAAATTCCTTACACTACCCCCCCCCCCTTCAAGAAGCCCCCTCCGCTACGTGAGTGCGTGTATATCGCGGAAACCCCGGCTCTGTTAGAATTACTAGCTAGGTGAGGATGTCGATTAGGTAAGGGAGGGGGATACAAGACTATCGAGAGTGAAATGTTGTACCCTCTAAGGAAAGAACCCTACACAACCTAGAGTGAAATGAATGGAACAATATATGTTTTGACACACCCCCATAGGTGAAGGAGGGGATAGCCAAACCTAACAGTGGTCACAAGACCAGACAAGCAAGAGTACAAGCAAGGCAAAGCTCAGGGTGGATCTCAAGGACACCACACAATCTGAGCACAAGCAGGCGGCCACAAGGCCAGTTCACATGCAGAGTTATAATAGCAAGGCAGTACACTGATCACAACCTAGCAAGAGTAAACATGCAGGTATAAAGATATATAGCAGTGTACAACAAGAGCAAGTCAAGCAACCAGCAGGTGAGGCAGAGTGGGCACAAGCCCAAGAGCAGTGCTGAAACGCTGATGATCACCAGACCCAAGGGCCTTGGTGAAGACATCAGCAGTGTTGGCCCGAGAGGCCACGTAAGCAAGGCGCAGCTGACCACGCTGCTGCAGCTCACACGCAAGGAAGTAGCGAAGAGCAATGTGCTTCGTTCTATGCTCCAGTCTCTGCTCGCGACACAAGGCAAGCATTGCCTTGTTGTCCACGCACAGAACTGGAGGAGAGCGAGGCCGCTCCCCCAAGTCGGTCAGCAGGTAGGTCAGCCAGCGTAGCTCCTATGCAGCCATGGCCCCAGCGTAGATCTCGGCCTCACACCTGGAGCCAAGCACAGAAGAAGAACGAGTGGACCTCCACGAGACAGAACCAGAGCCAAGACTGAAGGTGTAACCCTGTGACGAACGCTGAGTCGCCTGGTCGTCGGCCCAAGAAGCGTCAGAGTGTCCTGTGAGTACCACTGAACCCTGTCCTCCAAGCACGAGCCCCATGCCCGATGTACTGCACAAGTAACGCAGTACCCTCTTCGCAGCATCCCAGTGCACCTTTCGGTGTCTACCGGGTGCCACGTAGCGAGCCAGAAGGCCGAGAGGGTACGCGAGGTCAGGTCGAGTGCACGTCATCAGGTACATGAGGCAACCCACAAGCTCTGGGTACGGACCACTCGGCTCTACGGACTCGTCCGAAGGTGGAGCTGAGAGCGAGTGGCCGGTAGCCAGAGGAGTGGGCTGTGGCGAGGAGTACGTGAAGCGGAAGCGCTGAAGGACCTGGTGCACCATGTGTGACTGAGTCAGGGTGATGGTGCGCCGCGCTCTGTCCCGGGTGATATGCAAGCCAAGATAGCTCCGCAGCTCACCCAGGTCAGTGCAGGTGTGTCTCTCCTGCAGCTCCGCCTTCACTAGGGCCAGTGCCTCAGTGTCAGCCGTAGCAAAACCAAGTCGTCAACGTACACGAGGATGTAGAACGGCGGCAGAGAAGTGTCGGTGCATAGAAACAGCGACGGGCCAGCAGTCGAAGGAGCAAACCCAAGAGCCGCAAGTGTCGTCCTCAGTGTGTCGTGCCACTCGCGGGGCGCCTGACGCAGGCCGTACACTGGTCGCCGTAGGCTCCACTGGGTACCCTCAGGAAACGACCCAGTGAAGCCCGGTGGACGGCGCAACCAGATGGCCTCGTGAAGGCTACCCTGTAAGAAAGCTGTCGAGAAGTCGAGAGAGTGCAGCTCGTAGTCACGCTGAGCTGCAACGTGTAGCAACACCCGAAGAGTGGTCATCTTCGGGGTGGGGGAGAAGGTCTGAAAGAAGTCGACCCCCTCACGCTGACTGAAGCCTCGAGCAACGTAACGTGCCTTGAAGGCAGGCGGAGAACCTGGCGGCCGCTTCACCCTGAAAATCTACATGCCACTGACGATGTTCGCCCCAGGTGGGGGAACCTCGTCGACGTAGGTGCCTGTGGACTTCCAGGAAGCCATCTCTGCGTCCATGGCTATCTGCCACTGAGAGGAGTACTCACCCAAAATCGCCTCCCTGTAGGAGCGCGGGGTGGGGATGTCAAGTGCATCCGGGTCTCCCTCAGGGGCAAGCAGCATGGTCGCGTGATGGGGTGAAGCGGCAGCAAGGCACTCCAGCTCCTCCTGTCTGTCCTCAAGAACGTCACAGCCAAGGGCAGTACAGCCAAGAGCAGTCTCACCCCCGACGGACGGAGGACAGGCAGGGACAGGGTCAGAGACAAGACTCGCAAGGTAGTCTAGGCGGTACACAGCAGCAAGGTCAACGAGCTCAGCTACTAGGGCAGACGCAGCAGGAGACGAGAACGTAGGGTCCGTCACAACCGTAGCAAGAAGGCGAGTAACAGTCGGACTGGACGCACGAGCAAGGTCAGGCGGAGGGTCAGCAACGTCAGGCAGAGAGGACGCAGGAGGTAACAGTAGGACAACACGCTGAGGAACAGAGGAAGGACGGAGTGTCATATCGTGAGTGCCGGGGACAACCGGAGCACGCTGACGACGAACACGAGGAACACGAGCACGGACAGCAGCTCTAGGCTCAGGCTCAAGGTCAAAGCTAGACTCAGGCTCTCGACGCTCAGGGGTGGAAGCACGAGTCTCAGGCTCTCGACGCTCAGTCAGGGACTCTGACACCGCAGTGTAAGGAGCAGGAGCAGGCAGTGGGGAGTGTGGTAGCAGCGGTGGCTGTGACTGGTCCGCCGGTGGACACAGCAACGGAGGAGTGATACCTGCCACAGGGAAGCCAGTAGCACCTGGCTGAAGACTGAGAAGGTGGCGAAGAGCACAAGTAGCTCCACCAGGACCTCCAGCACCTCCAGCACCTCCAGCCCCAGCAGCTCCAGAACCTCCAGCACCAGCAGCACCTCCAGTACCAGCAACACCAGCAGCTCCACGACCTCCAGCAGCAGCAGCACCTCCAGTACCTCCAGCACCAGCAGCTCCACGACCTCCAGCACCTGCAGCACCTCCAGGACCTCCAGCACCAGTAGCTCCAGGTCCTCCGGTAGGAGCTCCGACGACACCAACACCAGAAGGACTCGCAGCACCCCCAGAGTCAGCACCCGAACTCGCAGCACCCCCAGAGTCAGCACCCGAACTCGCAGCACCCCCAGAGTCAGGACTCTCGGTCTCAGCACTCGCAGGCTCAGTACCCTCAGTCCCAGCACCCCCAGGCTCAGTACCCTCAGTCTCTGCTCCAGTGTCCACAGTAGCAGGCTGCAGAGGCGGCGAAGACGGCAGAGGTGGGAACCCGGGGGGGGTAGCCAGACGAGGAGAGCGGGCACCCCCAGACTCACCACCCCCAGCCCCAGCTCCAGAAGTCTCAGCTCCAGAGTCCACAGCAGCAGGCTGCGGAGGCGGCGAAGACGGCCGTGGCGGGAAACCCGGGGGGGTCTCCAAGCGAGGAGTGCGGCGAGTGGTCGCCGTGTCGTCGGCGACGGCGTCACCCCCCTCAGGTGAGTCAGAGGAGTCAGAAGAGATCTCAACTGGCTCATCCAAGGGGGGTGGGTCTACCTGGGACACACCTGAGGGAGCAGGACCCTGTGGGGGAAGGGGGTCTACCGGGGGGGGGACTGGTACCAGGAAGAGAGGTGCGAGGGGGACCGGGTGGGACGCGTGCGGGTGAAGTCGGTAGTAACAGACCGACTCGTCAAAGGTGACGTCCTGAGAGGACAGAACACGACGCGAGGCAGGGTGG